AATGAAGTCTACAATATGTTTATACAAGGGTTTGTTTGGAATTGCTTATTTTTTTGGATTGTGTTTAGTATCTCTTCCTAGTTCCAAACAGCGATCCTAATATGGTTCATTTTCCTATCACAAATGGATCCTAATTCAGAAAAGTATTTAAGCACATGACTAACTTTAGGCATGTGAAAGTCCCATCAGTTTCATTGGGATTACTCAAGAAGCTTAAATCAAGCATGTCTTAATTACCTCTCTGAATAAAGGCTTCCAACTGCAACACTAAAGGGCTGTGTCTACATTGCACCCCTTTTGCGGAAAAGGGATGCAGATTAGACACTTCGGAATTGCAAATCCGCGGGGGATTTAAATATCCCCCGCGGCATTTGCATTTACATGGCTGCCGCTTTTTTCCGGCTCGGGGTTTTTGCCGGAGAAAAGCGCCAGTCTAGACACGATTTTCCAAAAAATAAGCCCTTTTCCGGAGGATCCCTTATTCCTACTTTCAAGTATGGAATAAGGGATCCTCCGGAAAAGGGCTTATTTTCTGGAAAATCGTGTCTAGACTGGTGCTTTTCTCTGGCAAAAACCCCAAGCCGGAAAAAAGCGGCAGCCATGTAAATGCAAATGCCACAGGGGATATTTAAATCCCCTGCGGATTTGCAATTCCGAAGTGTCTAATCTGCATCCCTTTTCAGGAAAAGGGGTGCAGTGTAGACATAGCCAAGCCGTATAAAAATCCAGCAGGTTTAATAGTTTGTGAATGAGGAAACCATGAGTTAGTAGGTGGAATAAGCCTTCAGCCAATTTAAGTTTTCTACTAAAAGAAAATAAGTAAATGAAATAAAAAATAACTCAGTAAATTTCAGCTCAATTCACTGCTGAAAATGACACACAGATAATCAAAGAGCCATCTTTACTTCTCAGTATAGATGCATCATATAAGAATGCCTGGTCCAAATGAGTATATTTTCTAAATACCATACCAGGGGGATTGCTGTAGGCTTCCCTTACTTACCATCACAGAAATATTGGATGGAATTTATGGAAAAGCTGCGACATCATCATTTCTTAAAGGAATGTACCTTGTAGGATGGTGAGAGGTACTCAGTGAAATTCACTATGGTAAGTGAGATGGCCAAAATTCATTAACTAGCACAATGTTTCTGAACTCCTATAGCTCTCTAGTTATTGATAAGCCGATGGAAGAAATGGCTCTGAGAGGAAGTCCATTTAAAATGTGAGGCGTTTTTTTCATATTAAGGAGAATTTGGCTGCAATTAGATTTTCTCTCAAATATTTTGGGATGGATGCCACTTGGCCATTCAAATTGCTCAGATACATGGTTTAGATTCTTCATGGCAGTAAAAGTAGTCAGTAGAAGTGCTTCTTTCATTTGACACTGGCGAAGCTTATGCCTTTTCCTCCTGTTTCAGCTTGAAGGCCTAGATGAGGTCTGAATTGCTAGATATTTGAGTCAGTAATTTCTCTAGGGAAATGAAACTTGGTTAGAAACTACAGTATAAAAAACAAAGCACTGCTTTGTTGAGAAACTTACTTTTCAGAAATCACACAAAAGAAGAGGTTGATTCAAGGTTGGGGGGGGGGCTGGTGTAGGTTGCACAAAGAAGAAAAGCAAGTAGACAGAATACACTGTACTTGTCAGCCCTCTCCACCCCCAAAGCAGGTATTTGCATGGAAAATGTCACTCACTCAGGATCCCATTCAAGACATCTGGATCCTGCTCTCATTTGTGTATATGACTAAAGCAACAGGATAGCAAAATCTTATTTGGGGGGACTCAAAATAGCCTTCAAGTCAATGCCAACACACAGCACATTAGACTGGATAAGCATATAAAAGTTATTGAAACACCACGGAAAAAACAGAATTATATCCAGCCCATTGTCCTATTTGTTCTGCTACTCTATATAGGTTATTATACTGACCTCCTCTCAATAGCATCTGAGCACCTTTCAGAAGTGCATTAAAAGATGCAAATAACATCTGTCATATGTGGTTCATTCTTTTTCATCCTCTTCCCAGGGAGCAGGTTGGAGGGGGGCAGAATTCTGTGTGCAGTGGAGTGTTGTGGTTTGATAGGTTTTTAAAAAGTAAGTATCCACGCTCCATGTTGCTGACGGAGAAGGTAGGTCAAGTATCTTGTACTTGGTGAAAGGTGAAATCGTTTATAATGACTGTTAGTTTCTATGGGAGTTTCTTTCAGTCTAGGTCAGATAAGCCTTGAAAGAAAGTACTGTCTCCTGCACAGACATGTCATTTGAGGGATGTGCAAATTCAGGATGTACTGCTGAAACTGGGAAGGAAATGGGTAAAACCAAAACAAAACCCACTTTTAGGAGATGGACTGGTTGCAAAGCTGTTTTCTTGTAAGTAGGCATTCACAAGGCCCTGTGTTACGTTCTTTGCTGCTCCATTGGATCCATGCATCTGCCTTTATAGGACATTAGCCAGTGCTGATTTATTTTCCAATGCCCATGATAGAAGCTTTTCTTAGAGAGATTAAAAATTTTAAAAAATCCACTCCTTTTGAGAGTAAAGGAAACAACCAAACCCTGCTCCCCACAGGACTGAGCAATGATAGCAGTTAGTTTCTTGGAAGAAAACTGACTATTGTAAATTTTGACCAGGGTAAATATCAGAAATCAGGTACAGTTTTATCAGTGTAAACAGTTATGGAGGCTGAGTTTTCCATCAATCAAAACATCACCCCCCACCTCCCCCATACAAAAAACAAGCTACAGCCACTCTTTCATGGGTTTCTGAGTCATTGTTGTTTGTTTACCTTTAAAACTGTAGGGCTGTGTCTACACTGGCCACTTATTCCAGAAAAACAGCCGCTTTTCCGGAATAACTTGCCAGCTGTCTACACTGGCCGCTTGCTTTTCCGGAAAAGCAATGACGATCTAATGTAAAATCGTCAGTGTTTTTCCGGAAAAACTATGCTGCTCCCATTCAGGCAAAAGTCCTTTTCCGGAAAAACTGTTCCGGAAAAGGGCCAGTGTAGACAGCTCAGTAGTCTTTTCCGCAAAAAAGCCCCGATCATGAAAATGACGATCGGGGCTTTTTTGCGGAAAAGCGCGTCTACATTGGCATGGATGCTTTTCCGGAAAAAGTGCTTTTCTGGA